CACAACACAAGGAATGATGTGGCGTGTCATCTGCATGTTACAATTTTTTTTTGGGGGGGGGGCTGGGGGTTAACAAATTTATATCTGATCTTGTGTACCTGTAAATATGTACATACTATAAATAAATAATAAATAAAAAAACAAAATTGCATTACCACAACGTGGCATAAAATTAATACACGATTACACCTGCTTATCAATTGTTATTTTGAGTCAGCTTGACGTCATATTGTTGGAATTTGTATCTTGGAGTCGTAAACAAATAATGTTTATTGCTATTATGTGTGTTTTTCAAACATGTCTTCATTTTTATTTAATTGTTTTAACTTTATTTATTTAGATTTTTTTTTGCCTTGTAAATTGCATATGAAATAACACCTACCAATACCACAACACAAGGAATGATGTGGCGTGTCATCTGCATGTTACAATTTTTTTTTTTTGGGGGGGGGGGGGGGGCTGGGGGTTAACAAATTTATATCTGATCTTGTGTACCTGTAAATATGTACATACTATAAATAATGAATCATGACAAAAATAAAATTGCATTTCCACAACGTGGCATAATACTTAATAGAGACAATGTTGATGATGTAAGGGATGGAGATGATGAGAGGGATTGGTGAGGGATGGAGATGATGAGAGGAATGGAGGCGATATTGATAATGAAAGGGATGGAGGTGATGAGAGGGATTGAGACAATGGATGGAGATGATGAGAGGGATGGAGACGATGTGAGGGATGGAGAATTGGAGATGATGAGAGGGATGGAGACAATTTTGATGATGTAAGGGATGAAGACGATATTGATGATTAGAGGGATGGAGACGTCTCCATTCCTCCCGTCTCCATCCCTCTCACCATCTTGTCACCATCTCCATCCCTCCCATCATCTTCATCCCTCACACTGTCTCCATCCCTCACAGTCTCCATCCCTCATACCGTCTCCATCCCTCTCATCATCTCCATCCCTCTCATCATCTTCATTCCTCACACCGTCTCAATCCCTCACCAATCCCTCTCATCAACAGCGTCTTCATCCCTTACATCATCAACATTGTCTCCTTCACTCTCAACACCTCCATCCCTCACCAATCCCTCTCATCATCTCCATCCCTCCCATTGTCTCCATCCCTCTCATCGTCTCCATCCCTCTCACCATGTCCATCCCTCCCATTGTCTCCATCCCTCTCATCATTTCCACCCCATGTCATGTAAATTGAAATTTAATTATGAAATTTAATTCTTTGAATGGAATATCATTTTAATTTGAATCAATTTAGGTTTTATTATATTTGTATGATCTTTTTGGTTACTAAATAGTAATCAATTATACTGCTTTATTGCTGATTTTTTTTTTTTTTTTTTTTTTTTTTTTTTTTGGGGGGGGAGTGGAAATTCGTTTTGACCCACACCCCCCCCCCCCCACACACACACACTTTTTCGTTGGGAGGAGGGCGAGTCCCCTGCCCCCACTTCTGGCGCCTATGATCGCAAGAATGGCTGGATTTCTGAAAAAGGGGCACCTACAAAGGGACACATCAACAATAATAAAAACCATTTTTAGATATTTGTATAAAGGCCTACGCCTTCGTCAAGATTGTGAATACATTACCACGAATGACATCAATATTTGTTTATTTCTTTACGTGGAACAACATTATTGTTTAAGCAACATACTTCGCGATTTGGTGTGATGGACTGAATATCGATTTTCGAGCAAGCGAGCTAAAAGTGTAAGGTCCCATTTGAAAAATTATATGATGAATATTAAAGACAGTTTAATGAAGAAAGACTGAAAAGTTCTTTTATGTAATTATGAGTAACATTGTAATTAAAACATCTGAGAAAGAAAAGTAGGCACTTATCAGAAGGGAAAAGGACATGTACAAAATGATATAAGGGGGCACTTTAGGGGAACCTGAAAAAGTGGAGGCATAGTGCCCCCCCCCCCCAACCAAGAATGCCGCCTCTGACTGTGGGCAAAAGTGCAAAACTAACCCAGAAAATCTAGAAATAAACCAAATTTCAATTTTATTTCGCGGGTCAACTGCCCCCTTACCCATCAGTACGCCAGTGCTTCCAGTAGGCCTATCCTTCCATGAATTCCTACCATTAAAAATTATCAGAAGGGAAAAGGACATGTACAAAGGATAAGGGGGCACTTTAGGGGAACCTGGAAAAGTGGGGGCACAGTGTCCCCCCCCCCCCAACCAAGAATGCCGCCTCTGACAAAACTAACCCAGAAAATCTAGAAATAAACCACATTCCAATTTTATTTCGCGGGTCAACTGCCCACCCCCCCCCCCCCCTATCAGTACGCCAGTGCTTCCAGTATTCTACCATTAAAAAAATTCTGGGACAGAAAAATGCAGCTGTTATAGACCTCTAGATCAAAAGTATATTATTGTTACAAGGGAAATCAACTTTATTCTTTGTAATGACTGTGTTTTTAAAAGCACGAAAATCATGAAAAAGTACAATTTCATTTCAATATATATTATTGTTACAAGGGAAATCAACTTTATTCTTTGTAATGACTGTGTTTATAAAAGCACGAAAATCATGAAAAATTACAATTTCATTTCATTTTAGATCTAGAAATCATGATGGGAAAAAGTGTGGCGAGTTGTCCGAAAAGGCTGTGGCGAGTTGTCCAGGGTATTGTGGCGGGTTGTCCAGGGTATTGTGGCGGGTTGTCCAGGGTATTGTGGCGGGATGTCCAGGGTATTGTGGCGGGTTGTCTTTGTGGCGAGTTGTCTGGACCCCGATTCGTTGTACCGTTTTCGACTCTTTATCCTTATCTGAATTCAGTTCCGTCCCCCCTTTTCCGCGCGGAAGCTTTGATGTTTCATTAAATAATTAGAGAAAGAAGACGATTCGTTGTACCGTTCTCGACTCTTAATCCTTTTTTTTCCTACGTCCTCTTCCTTTTTCTTTTTTTTTTTTGGGGGGGGGGGGGGCGACCGCCCCCACTGCCCCCCCCCCTCCCCTCCCTGGCTACGCGCCTGCCCCTCCAAAATAAAAAATAAGAAGGCGATTCTTCAGCTCACTTCTCTTACAGTACTAGGCTAGGCCCTTACGAGAGATCTAGCTATTTATCAAGTCTTTAACTTTTAGGAGTAAAATATGATTATCTGATTATGAAAAAGAAAAATTCCATTCCTTCATTAATCGAATATTCTACTCTGAATGACTAATCTAGTATATGATAATGATGTAGCTACAGTAGATATAGGTCTAGTTTACTCACTAAATCAAATTGGATATTCTACTCGGAATGAATAATGATAATACAGTAGATAGTTTGATTAGTTATACTCACACATCACTCGATCAAATTGGGCAGTACAATCATGCAATGCAGTGCAGCAGCCCGGCACGAGTCAGTGAATTCCCCCGCCGACCCGGCCGGCGGCGCTGTACGGCTAGCTGCACACTGAGCTGAGCTGCTGCGGTAGCACTAGGCAGTAGTCTGCTAATTTACGGCCAGGACGAAAGAATGTGAACAAACATCAACCATCTCGTCTAAAATGTACTATATTCGACTTCTCAATAATGGAATCTGTGTCAGGAATAAAAAATAGACCTTCATACGAGATAAAAATGATATTTTTGCAGTGATTTACCGACAAAAACACTGCTCGAATTCCAGTGGTCCGAGTAGATACAACGCACATTTAATGTACGTGCGGCAATGCGGATTGCGAGCTGTGAGTAAATTGTCCGAAATGTCATTTTTTTGTCATTTTACCTAAAGATAAGTCATAGATTGTCTTCATTAGTATCATTTAACACAATTCCATTAAAGATTTTGGTTGGAAAGGGCATTATTAAGTCACAAAGAGCACAAACATATACACATTGGTATCTCTCGATCGATTAATCAGGTCGGGACATCTCGGCCCAGTTTTTCCAGCTGGGCCGAGTAGTCCCGTGGGCCGAGTTAGCCCGGATTCATATTTTGGATACCGTCCTTACTGAACAAGCGCCCAATCATCAATGTCGTTTGGAAAATTTTGAGATACAATACTATAGAGCCAGAGCATTGCTGAGGGGGTCTTCACTTTTTCCTACACACAAAGTATAGGCCTACTATTATGCTCATGCTGCATTCTACGAGAGGGCAAAGCCGATGCAATGCCTCGCCGCCGCGCCGCGCCGTATGTAGGCTATCCGCATGTACGTGTAGCATGCGCTCTCCCACCACTGTGTACTTAGTGTACATGTACGCAATGCATGGGATCTCCAGCTCCACGAGCGTCACGACATCATGTTTACTAGAACATATTGAACAATTCTTATACGTTGGAAATGTTGGTCTCTCCTCCTTAAAAGGTGTCAATTTATGTCAAGTTTTCTCACAATCAAAAAGTGGTTCAGTGGCATTTACTTACCAAAATAGTCAAAAGTTACACAGGGTTTATTCTCAGTTAGTCCCACATATTCAACGCTGATGCACGGAAGCCATGAAGTGAGCCTCTAAAATGAAATTGTACTAAAAGATAAAATATTCATGCAGCTGAATTCCATTTAAAAAATGTATTAAAATAAAATTTAGACCTAATAATTATTTTAATGCATTTGAAAGGTATACATATAATATTTTAGGGAATTTCTATCGTATCTATGATTATTAATCGTATTGAGCCTACTTTTGTTACAAAATGGCAGCCTCCATGTGAGTGTGAAGTTGATGGCAAATACACCAGTTTACAGTTGTGTGCGCCATTTTAAACAAGGCCAATGACCTAGAGGTCATGTGTTTATGCGTAAATTAAGATTGCGCCCATGCAAATTATGATGATATCACTGCCTGCGCGCTGCGTTGTGCGCGCATATCATCATTTGCATGGGCGCAATCTTAATTTACGCATAAATACCTGGTCAAACGTTATTGGCCCCGCTTCCGGGGCCATTGACCCCGCTTCCGGGGCCAGTGACCCGAGATCAACTGTCTGCGCATGCGCACTGATACAACTGTAAACTGGTGTATTACAGTCGTGACTAAAATCTAATCGAAACTCTGCTCGAATTTGAGAAATATTTCTACATGAACTCTACGACTGTGTATTTAAGAACACATTAATTTCATAATTTTCTTCAATTAATGAACTTGTTAGTCAAAATCACAGAAATGTTAAAATTTGTGAACCAATCTTCGGCAACCCTTGTCGCAGCCGTATGTGCGAGGACACACCACCTCCCGCTTCTTTTGACGCCTTGCTTCCAGGGGAGGAAAACAGAAGTTGCCCGTCACTCGTCCGCGGCTCCTTCAGTTCACAGCTGTAGCAAACGGCAACCCGCTCGGCCGGGCAAAAACATAGGCGGTGCTGCGGAGGAGTGGGCTTCAGCTTTATTTTCAACACATGTTCTCTCCAACGCCACATACTTTAGAAACAAACAAGTATTATTATCATGCAGTGAAAGGCTAGTTTGGGGGACAAGACATCAGTACAAGGAATTTTCATCATCTTCCAGTTCAACTTCAAGCACAGAGCCAGGAATATCCGAAAAGGAACTGAAAAGGGAAATTGATGATTTGACCGACAAATTCATGGAGACCAGAGAACTCCTGGAAGATGCTGTAAGATTTCAAAGTTGAATTAAATGTAAAGCTGTAGCTGTAGACAGTGTGGAAAAGCTTTGGAATAAGTTCAAATGTATGCTAGCATTACAAAAATTAGTTTGAGAATCAAGCCAAGAAGGATAGATTGTGCCTCTTCGAGGACACAGCAGTTGTAGTTTGAACTGATTATTGAGAAATCATTGAAATGTTCTCTGACCCTGAACAGTGGACATGCACAGCCAATAATAATGTGCAAGACTTTCTTCTATTTAGGAGCATTTAGTCAAGATTTAAAGGCAGGCTTTACTACTTCAGCTAGAAGGGATTAGACCACCCAGCAGGCCAGTGAGGTCACTGTGACAGGTGGCTATCTCATTAACTCTGCTCTCATTTAACATAAGAAAAAGAGGATCACGAGGGACCAACAGGCACCGATTGGGGAAGTTTTGTATATAGAGGGAGCAAGTAGCTACAAGTAGGACAGTGTGCCTTTAATATAAGCTATTTGGGAGACGGCTTCCCTCAGATTTGAATTGGGATATCAATTTCCTTTATTAACATTTGCTGCAAAGGGATTAACTCGGCTAAAAATAAAAAATAAGATGAGCAAATTACTCATTAAAAAAAAAGTTTTGTTATCATCCACACGCATATAACTAATAGTCGATTGTTAGTCTTGACATCAGAGAGGCAAAAATTTGACTAAGGACGATTCCCTTGTAAGTTGTTGTTTCTTTTTTTCTTTTGTAACCTAAGTCTCCAATACGGGAGGCTACAGGAGACGGTCTCCCAATTCCCAAATCTGCTGTGCATCTCTCTCTACTGCTGTAATTTTAATATTTTTGCAAAGTTGTCGATAAGCTTTGCCACCAGTTTCAAGGAATGTGTTCACTATCTTCATTAGATGTAAACATATAGTCTACTTTCCATATTTTCTACTGAATAACCATATTTTATATATGCAAAAAATGACAAATAGACTAAGTGCAACAAAATAATCTGATGAGTCTGTTTTGGCCTTGGGATTGTTGAGATTAAAATTTAAGTTTAACTCTCGGTAGGATATCTTTCATGATTGTTAATTGGTAATTGTTAATTGTTAGTTTTGTTAGTTTTGTTATTTTTATTATTATTATGATCATTATCATTATTGTTATCATCATTGTTGTCGTTATTTTGTTTTTCTTGTGTTTTTCTTGTGTTTTATTTGTTTGTTTTTTCATCATCTAGCTCAGTTAGTTTTGAAATAAGACTTTACTTGAATCATATGAATTTGCAATAGTACTTGTGATTGGTATTTCATTACTAGATTTATGTTTAATTTCTATAAATTTTCCATTGTATTCTTAATTAATTTGTTGATGAACTTATACTCTATCTTATGAAGATAATAGGCATAAACATTGTGACTACATGTAGTTTCTACTGACATATTCTTTGCAAAACAAGAATTTGAGTGTCATAAGTCAGCTAAGCAGAAAAGAGAAAGCTAACTATTTGGAATTACAGTACTTCAAGCACATCTTCTTTTTTCTTTGTTTATTTGATCTTGATGTGTGTTTGTGATTCTTTCTTTCAGTGCCTTGAATGGAAAACACAGAGCACTACATGTGACTGTACTTGTGCCTTGTTTTTAATTGCAGATGGAGTCCAAGGACACTGTCTACTTCAATGACGATCTCAAGGACGCTAAGGAAGCTGTGCAGGAAACACTGTCACACTTCGAGGACCTCATGGCAAAGCTGAGTGAGGAACAGGAGAGAAATGTGAGGAGAACGATTGGATTGAAGATGGAGGAGCTTAGAGCACAAGAGATGATGATTGACGAGAGTTTGAAGGAGTGAATGATCATTAGAATTGGTTTCCGAAAAGATGGGATGTTTTGAAGGAATATATTATAAATCTTTGGGCTTACTTCTCATTATAATTCAGTGAGATGCTGTTATATTGAAACTTTTATGGAGCAAAAACACTCCTGATACATGTATCAAGGTAATTTTTGCTGGTCCCAATTTTTTGTTTTCTATTGTTTTCAAGCCATGATTCAAGATGAAGCGTTTCTTGGTTCCATTAGAGTGTGTTATAAAGAGGTTCCATTGTGTTCGATATAAGTTCAAAGGTTGGGGACTTTAATAGTGACCCCAGATTTGATAATTAGAAGACTTTTTTTTAAAAGATGTCCACTGCAGTTTAATGCTGAAAGGCATGATGAGGGACTTGCAACAATCATATTTCTAATGTACATGTATTCAGCAAATCAGCTGAAAAGATCTGACAGCTAAAGCATTGAGAAAGGATGAATAATTCACTAGTTTGCATCGCGTAATGAGGGAAAACTACCATGAATTAGAGAGAAGAAAATATTTCATTAAATATAGATTTTTATAAAGAACAGTAATGGAAATCAAATGGAGAAATTGATTGTGGGACCATCTAAATTTTTCCCCCAGGCATTTATAGAACATACTTTGTGTAAAATTACAGGATTTTTCAATTGCTATGTTAAATTGCAAAGTGTTTTACTTCCCATTATTTATTGATAGAGACATTTCTAGTTTTATATTTCTTGTTAACTTCAGGGCATTGTCTGTTCTGAAGGATGCACATTTTGGCGATAAGTTAAGCAGGGTCTATATTCAAAGCACATTATATTTCACTTGTAAAAAAAAAAATGAAAATGAAAATGCCTTGTGCTAGTGTGCTGATAAAGGTCAAATACTCAAATAGCCTACCGTATAACTATTCACTTTTATTTTTTGTTATATTTATTCAACTAACAAACATGGTCTTTGATGGTATCGCACAAACTAGTAAAGCAATAATTGTAGACGCCAGTAGTTTTATCGGGTATTGGGTCTGTATTCTTTCTTTATTCAATAGAGAGTGAGAGAAAGTAGTAAGATGTCTTAAAGTATTGAATACTATATCATTTGTTGTTTAGGTTAAAGCTGGTGTATGGTCGGCAATAGCAATTGAACTCTGATTTCTAAAATGTACATTTAATTTATTTCTTGTTTTGTACTGTTGAATATTGAATTTAGTAAAACCATTATTCCCCAAACTACCAAACGTCTTGAAGTATATACTTGCATATCAATGATAACTGCACCCTTCAATTTAGCATCAAAATCTCCTCTACTCACATAAATTTGTATGTGAATTATCATGATGTCTGAATCAACTAGCAAATGGGGTGCAATTCCTGGAGGAAGCATGGTAAATAAATAAATGTATTTTTGTGCATTACATGTGTATGTTTAAAGCAAAAGGAGATAATATAACTTCACAGAGACATGTATGGCAGTCACTACCATATAACTTTAGAACTTGTGCAACGTGCTTGAAAACTACACGTTAATCATACAGAAAATTGTGTTGATAAAGTCGTATGTGATTTATTGCCTGAAATTGTCCACACATTATGAAGACAGAGGATAACTGGTGGAATTATTTTAATATTAAACACTTCAGGTGATACTGTACCTAGCCTAATCAAATATGTTTTCTCTGTGTGTGTTTTACTAGTATTGTGTGCATACTTATCATTTAATGATATAAGATATGAAAATAAATAAATTTCCAAATTCTTTTCTCTTTATGTTCTTGCCTATGTCCTTGTGGCATATCTATCGCATTATCAAAGAATTCCACTATGTCTTGATTTAATTATCTTTGTACTGCCCATCAATATTTTTCAGTCTTTTAATCACTCTCTCTTTCACACACCCTCCCTCTCCTGCCCCTCGATAGAATCTTTTCTCAATACACAAAGTCCCTCCTGATCTTCTGATGAAACACTGTACAATTCAATTTCAATCCTAAATACAAAATCTTGGAATAATATATGCATTCATACTTGTCAACTCCTGTTATTGGAATTATTGTGAGGGATGTTTTCTTCTAAACAGTACAAGTACCATGGGTCTTAGTAGTTTGGGTTGATTCATTTACTGCTTTGACTTTCCTCAAATTTTTCTAATTTCTTCCTTTTTCTCCCTTTTTCTCCCTTCCTCAGGGCTACCCATTTTCTCCTGACATCTCTTTTGCTCTCTCCTCTCTCTAACGCTACACAACATACATGCTCACAATGTCTGCAACAACATGGAAAAAGAAAAGTATAAGTACCATTTACCTGGGATAATAAGGTGCAATTTTAATGGTATTCTTTTTATTTACCCACGCCATGCACAATATTATAATTTACATACACTATGTGTCCTTTACATTCCAGTATGTACTTCATTCAAATACTAGTATCTGTCTAGTTTTTAAATAATTCTTAATACATTGCTCTATATATTTCAAATATTTTTTCTGTACAATTCTGAAAATTCATACTTCCCACTCAAGCAAATAACCAGGTAAAAAAATAAGTTATTTGCCAAAGCAGAAGCTGATCAATAAAATGATCAATATTCTTTTTTTACATGAATGCTTTACCTTCTTTACCGTTTCAACTAAATACACCAATAACATACTGAACAGCGTGGGGCTACCTATACCTTGTATGACCCATTTGGCAACATGTCCAATGTTTTCACAGAAAGAAAAGGGAAATGCGTGTTTGCATGGAGTCACATGATTCATCTCTTGAGAGCCAGAGGGATGTTAACACTGTATTTCATCAGTGAGTTCACATCCCTCTGGTTTTGAGCAGACATTTTGTACAACATAGGGCTTATCTTTCATGAGCTATTTAAAAGGCATGAAGGGCTCTTTCATTGGAAAATTTACGATTCCAGGCAACACAGAAAAGGTGAGGTACTTCTAAACCTGGAGGGAAACAGCAAGAGTTTCTCACACGATTGTTTCTTTAAAGATGTCCATGCGTGGGTATGTAGTCGTTCATGAAGTAGGCAACTTGGCGATCACTACACAACACTAAGCCAACGGATATTATGTCTGTGTGCTGCCCTCTACATACCCATGCTTGAGCAACTTTAACAAAGAAAACATCTGCAATGAATATCTAATATGAAATGATGGAGCATTATGGAACTATACAAGTACGGAACACCTACAACAACAATTGTACTAAAACACACTCTTCAAACTTAGTGTTGCAGTAAGTGTCGGCACTGGCAATAGCATTTGCCAATATTGTTTTGGAGACCCAGCAACTCGATCTTTTCAAAGCTACATCTACATACATGTATATAGTTAGCAACTGGCCTATTCCACATACAGTAATTTCCATCAAGGCATTCTTTAAACACACCATAAAAATCATAGTAGAAAGATAATGTGAATCATATATTAGGTTACAAAGTATTACATGCTCTTTTTTGTCATTTTTTGTCTACACAGTAGCAGCACCAGATCTTATAAACTAAAATACATGTATAGATTAGATTTAGAAAAGACAAAACAGAAAAAAAGAAACACATAAATGATTATGATTGACATAGGCTTTATAACAAGTATCTAACGTACACCAAACACAAATGTCATTGTATATGTTTTAGGATGAAATGAACCTATTCTTTCTTTTGGTAAGTACACCATTTTTTAAATGATTATAAATGTATACCTGTTGACTTTCCGAAAAGCTATCTCAATCACCTGTTACATATTGTAATCAAATCGTCAGAATGCAAATTACATGTATTGGTTTTTGCTAGGTCAGACTGACATTGCAGATTGCCCTGCCTAACAAAAAGTACATGCAATTTGCAATCGGACTACTGAAATACAATTTTTTCATAACAGGCAAATTCAATAGTTCATAATGAGGCACGTAACAAAGATGTATTAGACTTTATTAAATTACGAAAAAAGCCTTTTGGAGAAGATTGAAGTCAGTTGTTTGGTTACAAATAAACAGACACTGGATTTGGGCGCAATCTAGAATTTAAAAAGTACTAATTACCAAAAAGGTTTTGTTCTTGATGTAAGGGGTTCCATGTTGCTATACTGAAGTCATGTATTGGTTAAAATGGGATTTTATTGGAAGGAATAGTGTATGATAGATTTGATAACAATGAAGGGGAATAAGAGGATACATATGACCTTTAACCTTAACAAAGTCAATGAAATAATCACTGATAAAATAAAATGAAAAGCAGTCAATAAAGTGATGAATAGCCATTGGTAAATGATCTTGACTAAGATAAATCATAGAATAAATTTCAGGTTTACGTATCTGAAATGTATAGAGTGATTAAATATCAACTTATGAATGATGGGTCTAAATCTGAATGAAAAAAAAAATATTAAGTTGAACAAACGTCTAGAAAAGGTCAACATTTCAATGTGAAGAATGTCATGCTTCACAGACAGACTGACAGACAGACAAATCTGCATGAGGAAATAAAAATTAAGGTATGAACCATAAGTGACTTTATCAGCTTAGTATAATCTATGTCCAATATAAGAGTTACCACAAAGACATACTCTTTGTGTAATGTGTACTTCCCAGCTTATTTCATACAAATGTGAATTATTTCGTTATGATTATATCAATTATCATATTCATTTTATTCCAAAAATAATTTCTTTTGCTAAAAATTTACATGCTATATTTATCTGTAAGACATGGCAACAAATAGGACTGTTTAAAGCTGTTGTAATACTTCAAAATGAGGGCCAAAACAACTATTTGAGACCAGTCACAGATAAAAAATTCTGCTTTGAAGAACATTATTGTATTTTTGCATTTTACAAATTTTGTTGACATTGCAAAAACTAATTAATTTCGGGTATTAGCCTATAGCTAAAATGTTGGTTATATGTTTGCTTGCATTAACAAACACTAATTACGGTCATGCTGTACTTCAATCTATCATTAACATTCCCATGCATTGACTGGCTAAGAATAGAACAAAACACTTATCTTCTTTATATATGCCAATTCTGAACTATTTATGACTACGACACAATCCGCTGACCAAATTACCAATTTGAGAATTGCACACAGGTAGTCATTTTCGTTTTCAAACATTCTTGTGTAATTGGTCCGATATATTCCAAACTTTTGCCATTCTGTTTCTCTTACTTTTCTGCTTTCATACAAATGAACTCAATACAACGGTTGGATTGCCCTTTAACAGGTACAATTAGGTCAGAAAGATTGCATGCGCGTAAAAGACAATTTGATTTTGTACTCTCATAGTATGATCAATCAACTGCAGAAAGATGGAAGTAGAACAGCACTTTCAGTTGAGTCTCAGCATAAAGATCATTTTCTTTACCTTTGAAAGCTTAAAATGTTTCCTAAAAAGACAAGACAAAGAAATTGGTCCAACTTGTTTCATTAAGAGCAAAACAGCATACAGAATTCAATGAAGTGCCTACAGAACGCAACAGCGATACAACTGCTGTTTGAAAAATATTCTATTATTCAGTAACTGATACTTTGATAACTAATTTGATAACTAATTTGCTAATGATCAGATAAGATTTCTATCTACACCTTCATGCCTAGAAAAGAAAAACACACACAAGCTGAAACTACCCCAATATTGAATACCATTTAGACAGAACACAAAAACGTTACACCTTCCAAAACAGCTTGCATCATATAAATTTTATCCTGTATATTTTTAAAAAGATACAGAAAAATATCTTAACATTTTTTTCATAAATACATGTCTCCTCTTCCTTACACACATTTTTTTCAAAACAGCTTCTAATTGCCCCTTTCCCCAGTCCACACCATATGAAACATATTTGGCCCTCTTACCTACCGCTATAGGTTACTCGCCCCATCTTACAAATGGATTCAACCAAACATGTCTAACTTTGTATGACAGAAAAATATGCTCTTTAAGAAAATTCTTTCTTCTACAGATCTGTTCTGCAGTAATCTGCTTGAACAAAATGATGTGAGTGTTTTCATTTTAAGCAACATTGATATTAGTATTCTATGCCAAAGCATGTAGCTGCAAGAATATAAGTGAGAAGAAACACTTCACGGAGGACCCTTTTAGATTTCAAAATCTTCCATATATGCCCGTAGTGGAAGTACCACAAATTATGTGAAGTATAAATAATCGTAAACATCTTTCATGTGCACAGAAGAAGCATGTAACAAGTTAATTGAAAATATAAATTAGTGCAGTACACTAGTGCAGATATTGTTAGTGTAAAACCCTCTTTTACTCTTATTACTGTATTATTCTATTTTCTCTATGAAGTTGAAAAATAGTAGTTCGGTTTCTTCCCAGTTCTTGTTTTGCTAATATCATTGATATTTCCAATGAACTTTTTATCAACAATTTTGAAAGGTGTACCATCGTAAGCCTTTTATCATAAAGATCCAAAAATCATCCAACAGCTACACTTTATCTAAACTTTTCTGGTAACTGAAGGCATCAAATGATGACATCCAATAGGCAAGATTTTGGATACATAAAGAGCGGTACAGACAGCAGAAAAGCAATGGACCAAAACATTCTCAGCCTCCTCAATATCGAGACAGGGACGCTCTTAAAACAGAGTGAAAATTGGACTAAATTTGTCATCAGCCCACACTCTACTCGACAAAATGCTTGATAAAAACACACGGGAATCAGAAAAAGGGTATACATTCAAAGAGGTATAAAGGAACAATGCACATTTGGGGCATTCCATGGCATAAGAAGATGAATCTGTATCGTCCTCTCGTCTCCCACATTCTCTCCGCAGATGACAGCTTTGCTGCAGTCTTGGAAGGATTTTTGGACAGACAGAGGTTTTCTTACGCAGAGTGTCCCACGCACCTTGCAGCATTCATGGAGAGTTCTCGTCGCTTCGGCCTTCAGGGTGTGAAACTGTACAGTGCAAGCTGGCCTTCTGCGAGAGACTACCGGTCCGCTTACACCAATCGGAAGGCCATTTCCTTTCTGAGGATCAGGGTCGAATACACATTTTCAATGCAACATCCTTTGACAGGAGTAAATAGTTTGATATTGTTCTTAAAGTCAGTGATAGCTCATACGGTTATCTTCACGACCCCTGGTAGATTTGATGAGGGTGTCGAGTTTGTAGATCTCGGCGTTCTTTTTGTTTGCCTAGGGTGCAAAGGGAAGAGAGAAACATGTAAGAAAATGTTACTAATTACCTCGCAAGATCAGACCTGAAGGTTTTTTAAATCGGCAGATTACATCATAAACAAAACCCAAAAGTAATTATTGATCACTAGTTTTAATGAATATTTCAAAAATATGCATATGGCCTTAAAGGTACTATGTCCCTTTTGCAGCCAACCTCAAATTCTGTAGAACTTTGCAGGAAGCAGGAATATGTCATGTATGTCCTATCTGTGAAATTTAAACATTAGCAGTGTCCTCATATTCAAATTATGCAAGGTAACCTGTTTACTTGCTAGACTTCACTGTCAGACACTATTGAGTGACTGACTGGCTTTTTTTCTTCTTTGGTAATAACATACATGAAAAGAGTTGTAAAGGGGACATGAGCATTTGTCTACATCAATAACCCACTTCTTGTGATGGCCAAGATTAAACTGATTGAATCTTTGCACAGCATAAAACGTATGACCATTTGGTACAATTGTCTGAAAATCAAGACTATTACTTTTGGGCTCTATAGCCCTAAAGTCGATTTGACAACTAATAGTCATTATTTTCCCACTTGAAGACATTTTCAAGCCCCACCTTTTTTAGGGAAGTTCTAAATAAGTATTATCTTTCAAATGCAGTTGGAATTTAACTTTTTCATTTTTTGGGCCTGCAAATGGGACATAGTACCTTTAAAATCAATTCACTCTGCTGCTGAAGGCATAGGGAAAGCCCACTGAAACGTATCATTGCCAACATTTGTATACTATCAACTCAAATGCATGAAAATATTACTTTGGGGATTGTTTATTTCAAGAGGCATGATGTGCCACCACTCTATAACCAGGAAGATGTAATGAATGGAGATCCCGTCCAAGAGGCCCCTTTGAAGTCATCCGTGGCACCGCGCGTCTTTTGTTTCCCCTACCGTAATCCCCTTAATCCCCCTCCAAAACCTTACAGCTCCCTAGTAGCACTAAGTCCTCCCTTTCCACACACAGCCCAGCCCAGCGAGCACGGCGGCTTTTGCTTTGCCGGCCCGTACTTTGGGTGAATAGTGGTGCTAACTTGACAACTTCTAGCCCTCAATCAATAAATGCGCAAACATATAACACAATTTCATTTAGTTCTTTAGGAAGATAAACCTTTGGACTACCTTCCTAGCTATGTACAAATTTCGGAAATTTTCGGAAAATGTCAATAATTAGATGAGAAAATCATGATTATGAAAATCTTTCATTCGCTCTAACTCATGATTTCCTTGGTCGATTTCGCTGGTTAAAATGGCCATGTCTTCAGTAGAGCTATCCGAGAACGGAAAACGCATTTGATGACTAATAGAAAGTTGCATTGGTCATAATGTTGTGAATTCTGCATTTTATATGTTATAGCTAAATACATCTTTCATGAACATGACTTAATTTGTCGGTGCCACGCATGGCTTCAAAGCCCGATGCTTGCATATTTTTGCAAACGAGTGAATAGAGAACTTAGGGAAGCAGATGGCGTTGCGTAACATTTCGTACTATTTGGAATGCCAGAGAGGGACTGTGCATTGATATGGACAGCTGTTGATGGAAATGATGGCTGGAGAGGGTTACATTTCTTTTTGTTAAGCCAGGTTAATCTTGAATAATTTTCCCTCGGAAAATTCTTTCGAGACGGTATCTCCATTCATTACAGCTTCCTGCTATAACTAACAGTTATGTGACTGTATATCGGGGTAAAGTATCGTGAGGTATAAACTCTGAACTTGTCTTTATCTGAGACATGTAGTGGACGAGTGGATATGTCACCGGACTGTGGATCACAAGGTCCGCAGTTCAAGTCCTACCGCGGCACTAATGTCCTTTGGCAAGACATTGATCTACATTTGCCACTCTCTACCCAGTTGCTAATTGGCTACCTGGTAGGATGCGAAAGCTAATGTGCTTAGATTAGCAAGTGTGCGCTTGTAAAAATGACGCCTGGCTGGAATGCTCCCCAGGGAGTGGAAAATGTGCATGCACTGTGAGCCTGAATCCAATGACCGGGGAAATAATATATATATATCTGTAAAGCGCTTTGAGAGGGCCTTCGGTTCTGAAAAGCGCTATATAAGAACTAGCTATTATTATTATCATCTTTTTCATGAGTAAATATAACTAGAGATGCATGTACTGACCTTGGTGTATCGACAGGACTGCCAGGTTTCCTAGGAACCTCTTTGTCTTTGACGAAATTCCGGCACGATGCAAGCTTGTTCTCCAGAGCCTAAAAGACAAAAAGGGGGATCGTTAAAGGTTGGTTCAAAGCAGGGACTTTCATAAGGTACGAAAGCTCTGAAAAAAATTGACATTTAGTAAACATTTACGCTTGTAAACGAAGTCTGATTAGATCTGAGAATTTGGAGATGTAGGATATAGCATATTAGGATATAAGGAAGTAGATCATCATCTATACGAAAGTAGATCATCATCTATAGGAAAGTAGATTATCATCTATTGTATGCATCTTAAATACCAGAAAGTTGGATAGTGTTGCAGTTATATACACTAAAAGATGAATATATTTATGATCACCTAGCATAAATATGAAGATCATTTCAAGCAGGGCTTCAAAGGTTGTTGTGTACTTGCCCCTGTTTAAATGTCCAAAGTTTGGGGGTAAAGAATTTGAATGTGTGGGCCCGTGTGCACCTATTCCCATTAGAATCAAGCCCTGTTTTAATGAACACTTATTCATACACCATACCATTCGCATAACAAACCTTGCGATCTATATTTAATGTACGTATATATTGTATAACATCACAATAACAATGCACTGTAGACAGCCACGTATCATTACCCAAGTCCGTTTACTTGGTAATTAACTGGCCTTGTAAGCATTCTTGATTGGAAATGGACAATTGCTCATTAACCAGTCTTGACGATACATTGACCAAAAGCATGTGAAATGCAAACAAATTCCACTCTAAATTTCCATTAGATATTTCGGGGAGCACCTAAAATATATAATTTTACAATATTAATGCCGTACAAGCGAGAAAAAAAAATCTTCACTGGAACCCTAATAGAGGTCCCTACCAGAAGTTTATCATAATTAACTGACCTTGTAAGCATTCTTAATTGGAAATGGACAATTCCTCATTAACCAGTCTTGAGGATACATTGAGCAAAAGCGTGTGAAATGCAAACAAATTCCATTCTTAATTTCCATTAGCTATTTCGGGGAGCACCTACAATATATTCCAAATATTTGTACATTTGTATATTTGTTACAGCCGTACAAGCAAAAGGTCTTCACGGGAACCCAACATAAAGAGGTCTCTATCAGAAGTTTATCAGAAGGGCATTTATATGAAGGAGTCACAAAGGGGATAGTGTCCATCCCGTATCATAAACGTTGCTGTCAAATATGAATACCAATGAATTGTCAGCCCTCCTTAAGGCTCGCACACAATTGATGCTTTTCCTATCTTATAACATACCGGTATAGCTTTATGAATACTTGCAGGTCCTTGGTTGTGCGCAGTGGCCATTCATTTTTTGTGGTGGTTTACTGCACCATATGTGAGCAAGCCTTCAGTAAAATCACATTAGGCAGAGGAGATACAGTTGATTTAATACCAGACTTAAAAAGCATTTGACAAATTGTAGAGGTGTCGTGGTCGAGTGGATATGTCACCGAACTGTGAATCACAAGATCCGTGGTTCAAGTCCTGCCACAGCACCTATGTCCTTTGGCAAGACATTGATCTACATTCGCCACCCTCCACCCAGGTGTTAAATGGGTACCCGGTAGGATGTGAAAGTTAATGTGGTTGGATTAGCAAGTGGCACTTGTAAAATGGCAACTGGCTGGAATGCTCCCCAGGGAGTGGAAAATGTGCAAACATTGTGTTGCGGGCAAGCCTGAATCCAATAACCGGGGTAATAATATGTGTAAATAAATGTGAGCTATTATTATTATTAAATTGATTATATAGGGCATTAAAAGTAAAACCCATAATCAATTGTCTGTCTGACACAGACAGACCTCTGCTCAAACTTGAACTACCGATTCATGGATAAAGATCTAACAATTCAAAGTGGGAGAAATACTTGCCCCAACTTTTCTGAGTAGATCCCCAACGATGTTAAGAGCAGATACTCTGGCTGATGGTGTGAGTGGAGCGTTGCCACTCCCTGCTACCCCTGTTGAATTAGCTTGTAAATCTGTGGTGTGATGAAGGAAGGAAGGGTAGAAGGAAGTGGAGATTTTATCAAAATGAATGAGTAGTAGAGGTAAAACAAAGAGTAAAATCATGGATAATCGCAGAAAGACAAAGAGGAAAAATCCCATGATAAAACTAGATGGAACTTCGACTGCGCGCAGTCGAAATGATGCCTCCGTCATAGAGCAATTTACAAACCAAAACAGAAGAAATTTTTAAAAATTCAAGTTCAATTGTAATCCATTAACAGGTTCTCAGAATATTGTGATTACAAGCAATTTCTCATATACATATATGACCCTTTGATCTTTGACCTCATGACCCTAACATCTACTCAGTTCATTGACTCTGCAAGATGTCCCGAGTTAAATAGTAATCCATCTGTCAGTTCTAATGAGAATGTGTTCACAAGCTATTTTTGCATACATAATGAGCCCATGATCTTTGACCTTTGACCTCATGACCAAAGAATCTACTCAGTTCATTGGCTCTGCAAGATGCATACATGATCTAAGTTTGGCAGGAATCCATCAATCTCTTCTAATGATAAGGCGATCACAAGCTATTTTTGCATACATAATGAGCCACATGACCTTTGACCTTGACCTCATGACCCTAAAATCTAATCAGTTCATCGGCTTCGCAAGTAACATACATGACCTAAGTTTGGCAGGAATCCTTCAATCGGTTCTTGAGATAACGCGATCACAAGCAGTTTTTGCATACATAATGAGCCCTGGGACCTTTGACCTTTGACCTCGTGACCCCAAAATCTATTCAGTTCATCGGCTCTGCAAGATACATACATGACCAAAGTTTGGCAGGAATCCATCAATCGGTTCTTCAGATAACGCGATCACGAGAACGGGACGTACGGACGTACGGACGGACGGACGGACAACCAGAAAACATAATGCCTCCGGCTACTTCGTAACGGAGGCATAAAAACAATATCTTTACAATAAAAACACAATGGACGAGCAAGCACTGATATACCAATACATCAAAAGGCCCAATATTTTTGTTTACCTTACCAGGTTATTTTCTTAAAATTGGTTCTCCATGCATACAATGTTTTTGCTCATCTACTTCTCCTTCATACATTGTTGTACTTCTTTGAAGTCATTGAACTCCAAATGTGCTCTATATTCTCCACTTGTCTATTTTGCAAGAACTCAATTTTCTGTAATTTCAGATCTCCCCTTATTAAACCCTCTTTCTCCATTTCTTAAGATCCTCAATATCATCTTCATCCTTACATGTCTTATTTTCTTCCATACCCCCTCAAGATGCCATCTGGCTGTCTCTTCAAGTACACATTTACCCCCCATCTTATTGACTCAGGTGCAATTAAGAGTCCCGCCACTTCAAAATTGTTAATTGATTTAGCACTTTAATAACTCATGTTGCTCGGCAACCGTGACATTAATTGGCTAATTAGGGAGCAGGTTTTAAGCACTGCCTGTCGAATTGGTTCATTACCGGTACTTGTTTGGATGTTTCTAAGAGCAAAAACTTTACACGGAGCCATTTCAGTTTCTAATTAAGGTCATACTGGATTCTAAAAAAAAAAAAATCATAAATATGCATCACCGTTAGTGCCGTAAGCCCACTCAAATGTGTGTCTAAACAACTTCATTAATTCATCGAATATAAAGGAGGCTCAGTTTGTCTGGGATATCTTGGGTTTAAATTACACCTTTGAGAAAAGCATCAAACCTTGCCTTTCCTAGCTCAACAAACTGGAGCTAGAGCTCTACCTGTATGTTCCATGAATGCTGACTAGTTACAGAAAAACAAAGACCCAATCTTTCGGCATCCAACGTAAAATAAACTTCAAATTAACAGGATTTGAGAATGAATAGAAGGCAATACCAGTGATTTTTATTCTAATCAACATCAATGTAACGTAGATTTGAATATGTCTTATTCAGATCAATCTTTCATATAACATTTTTTGTTGTTGTATTCCCAGTGGTCACCATGTAAACTTTTTATTCCCTCCAAAAAGTCAGAACCTGATATCATAGCCACAAATAGATGATTTTAAGTAAGTTTCACTTTTCACTTCTGTATTTAATGATATACAAAACATTCTTTCATGGTTTAAATTACTATAATTCAGGATTAATTATTTTTTATAAAACTTAAAAAAATGTTAATGTTTTGTAAAATGTATCATATTTTGTTATTTTTGCATGTAACATGAATAAAAGCATCCAATCAGTCAACCAATCAATCAATATACCAGTCACCTACATACAACTTCAGTCATTTTTTGTTTTGACCAGTTTCCTCTACGGTGACTTAAAACAGGTTGGACCGGTCGGACCTGTTTCTCAATCCGTCCCCAAAACACAAACTTATCCAGGGGTTTGACCTCATACAATGTGATGACTTGCAACAAGTGCCAAATAAGTCCTGTATGGGCCAATTAGTGGTCAAATTACCTTTTCCTGGGGTGGTGTTCGTCTCTGCTTCATGAAGGACCTTGTTATCCACCGTGTGGTCACCAGAGGGCGTGTGTCTTCCGTTCGCTGCATGCTCTGCATCGTTGTCCGGCACGACCCTGACATTGATCTCTGACCTCATATCTGGAATTATAAAATAAAAATGATTAGATATGGTTTTAAGGGGTTATCCCACGAAAGGATGGGAAAGTACAGTAGAAATTTATGGGTGAATGGTATGAAATGACTAAATGATGAACATGTATGATGTACACAACCAGGGAAAATCCTTAAGTAGATCACTCATACTGTGCACCCCTACGACTGCAACCTTCATGTAATACACTTACAAACATACAACTTACATGTACAGTGTACATTATGTATCTTCATAATGAATAACACTATACATGTATGTATATCATCTCTTCTCAAGGAATTAAAACACATTTGAATGATGTGGAGTTATTTCCTAGATTGCATCTTATACAATTATGATTAATTGTTAACATTATCACCAATGGACCCCATGAATGTTCACCTATTTAATAATAATAGGCATTTTTATAGCACCGTCTATCTAGAAATTGAAATTCTATTTCGAGGCGAATTTATTTATTTGGTTTTACATTTTCAATCTTCATTCAGCCATCCAACCCCCAACCCCTCCTCCATTATCATCTATCAATCAACATTAGATCATAAGATATCAAGTGTCCTGTATTGACTAAAGTGACCCATTATTCATCCATCACTAATTACTGCCCTCCTAACCGATGGTATCAACCACTTGTATCTATTTGTCCACTACTGCTAACAATTTGTGTATTAGTCTACATTCGCTCATGCAGTTTATCATTGGCTACCAGCAAAGAAGGCCTTACTGCCGTACACAGTACATACATAGCTGTTACGTTTTCTTGCGGGCAGATGGTAGTACCAATATAGCAGGCTTTAAAGGTAAAGACCAGTATTGGAAACGCCCCAATTTCAAAAAATGAAATGGAAGCTCTTATTACCAATCATGTGAAAGAATGTTTTGACTAATACATGATGATAAAAAATTTGCCGGGAAACCGCCTACTAATTGATATATTTGTGTGTGAGAGATAAACGCACGTGTGGGTAGTCCCATATACATCTTTCTGTGTACAGTGCTTGTAACTTTACGAAGACTGGGCCAAATTTCTTATCATTTTGATGATTCCAGAATCTTGCAGCACACACAAATACTTATATGCTAGATGATCAACCTTTTCTGATCGATTCCACGAGGTTTCTTTCACAATGCAATCGCATGACCATAACTGGTCTTTATTTTTAATAGGGGAGCTGCACTATTACCGTCAGGGTAATCAATAGATTGGGGCTATTTTAGAAATTCATTAAATCATTGCTAGTTCTGTTTTCTTTCTGCTATTGATTAGCAGAAAGGTAAACATATTTCTCAAGGTCTACTAGAATTACCCTATTCATTCTACATGTGAATATATGTAGTCAATTTCACTCTATGTTCTTCATAAGTATGCTATAAATACTGTATATACATATTGAAATTTTTAAATACAAGGAGATGATCTGAATATTAAAAAAATGAAAAATATAATATAATGAAGTAAATATGGTATTAAAATTCCTATAAAATAAACAGTGCTAGTCTCTTTTAATTAACAAATTGTTTACCTTTATTTCTAGCTAGCTTTCAAAATCATATTTTGGATGATACACATATATTTACAGCCAGAGTAAAAACACTGCTAGGTTTGCCAAAAAATACTTCATATGAAAGAAAACATGTTGCCATGTTCATTGCAGAAATGAATGCATGTACATAATAACAACTCTTCTTTGCATGGTCCTTTTTAGCCAAAGTAAACAAAATAACTAAACATGTACCGGTACTTGAAATGGCCCAGGGAGCTGTGACTTTTACTTTCTTAATCTTGAGTTGCAAAATATATTCTTTGTTGCTCAAAGTGACAGCTCCCGAAATGGTCCCATACAAACTGCCTATTGCTACCAATGGGACCCTATTGTGAGAGAATGATGTAAATCTACACACAGGCAACACCTATGTAACTACATAAAATTATTAGTTCATACATAAAACAAATTAAAGTATTAAACTTGCAATGGTGAATTCTATTCAGATGATTTGGGTCAATTATCTTTCAGTTATCACACATCTTTAAGGCAGGGACCAATAGTTGATCGTTCAATAACAATACAGCGTAACTGATCCAGCAATAAGAGCCAAGTTATGAATAGAAGTATTACATAAGCAGATAAGATAATGATTGATTGGAATTGTGTTGAATAATAAAACATCAGTCCAGGGAGGCTGTGTCCTATTGAAATATACAAAGTAGATGATCTGCTATTCAGAATATCTCTCTTCACTGCACAAGATGGGATAATTTGCTATGGTTCATTCATACATGTACATGCTGTTGTACATGTTAACTGCCACTGCCAAGCGCATTTCTAGAAGAATGATTGGGGAGATAGGGAGAGTGGCTCGGGGATCCTTGCATTAATTTCACAATTTTCCTCACTTAAATTCATTTATAACCAATAAAAAATGGGGGGATTCAAAGAAATTTGGAAATTGCTTGAGCCCACCCGCCTCCCTCAATTTGTTTCAATTTAACATGTACATGTAGGCCAGCATGGTGATACTCATTATGCAAGGGGCTTTCCCCATCTTGAAACTGGAACTACACCATTGTACCTAAATAGCTTATAGTCTTTTGGGGGGGTATTTTCCACTGGATATTGGTAATATTCGGTTGTAATTGGGGTCGGTTCAGTTGTATTCGGTTTTCATTTTCCACTAATTTCCTGCTCCTCTTCATTAATAGTCTATACACTGAATGTACTAAGAAAATTAAAACCTGCATGGATTCTTTTCCTATAGATGTACATGTAGGTATGTGAAAGGCAACGTGAACAAATATTTAGGCCTTATAGGCTACAGGAAGATAAACAGTGTACAATTATGGCATGAAAGTGTGATACGATTATGGTTCATGTATATCAGCCCCTCTACTAGTACTAATACACATCCATATAGCCATTATGAAAATGAATACATATTTCTCATACATGTACGTGTAAACTTTACATGTATATCTTGTGTTTTATCCCAGGATCATGTGTCATTCACATGTTACTCTATATGCTAAGCTAACTACAGTGCACACTAAGTACAGAAAATCATCACATGATTCATTCAGTAATACAAATGACAACAACAATGGCAAACCACTGCAGAGAGAAGCTGCATACATTTCCAGTGTACTTGTATGCCTCCTGTGTTAACCCTGAATACTTTGATTCTAAAAAACACTACCGGTAGTTTCCATTCCCTTGTGAATAGTCTCATTTTCAATGTACTTAAACATGTACACTCGGTACCTCCCTAATCCACTCTCAACCCCCCTCTCCCTTCCCCACAATCCCTGATCCACTTCATAACAAGGTGCCCCCCTCCTCAATCAATAGTTTTGTTCATCTCCCTTTAAGAATTCCCCCTCCTTGAATGACAAACCATCTTGAACATCCCTTTGTACTTAGTTACTAATCTTTCACCTTGATACCCCCACAAGTTTCCTGCGTTTTCTTCCTAGTTTTTAAACTAATGGTAAATCAAAGAGAAGCTATTAATACAAGTAGCTCACAGTACAGCAACAAATGAAAAAGCAGGTGAAAATTATAAAAAAATAAAAAATAAAAACTGTATTGAACAAAAGAGTCACTATTGATTGAATATCTGTCATCTCTTTGAAATGCCATTTGATGTAAAACTTTCAAAAGAAATATTTCACTACATTTATTAGTGAAAACAATGTTATGAATAATTGGATGGTTTTGGCTCTCTTCAGCATACATATTCATACAGACTGGCCCGAATTCACAAAGGTGGTTTGTCGAAAAACCTAGGTTTATGTGCGTCAAACCTAGGTTTGTCGACAAACCTCCTTTGTGAATTCAGGCCATAGTGTGCCTTTATAGTAATTGTCTGCTGAGAACCATAAGGGATTTATCTATTGTATTGAAGGATGTATTATATTACAAGGGATTTTAAACTGTTGCCCCCTATTTCTCACTAAATGCTGCTCAAGTTGCCAGCATAGGATATCACTGACTTCCCCTTCCCCTACACGTACACATACATGTTGTATGTTGAAAAGTGTCATCCAATATGTCTGTAATTTCTGTGAACAACACAATTTGTCATATCTTATTATTTCAGATTGTTCTGCATTTGTAATAATCATACTGCTTGAAAGGAGATTTATACTTTTTTTTATTTGATTTAAAAAAAACTTACCTCTCGCTTCATCTTTTAACCTTTGAACTGTGACTACTAATGACTCCTTCTCATCTAGTTCATTCTCTAGGAAGGCATTTCTTTCAATTGCCTAGATTGGAAAGAGAGAGAAGGGAGAGAGTGGGATGGGAGGTAGACAGGGGGAGAGGGGAAGAAAGAGAGAATGGGGAAAAGAGGGGAGAGAGACAAGGCAAAGAGAGAGAGAGAGAGAAAAAACAGAGACAGAGACAGACAGACAGACAGAGATAGAGATGGAGAGACAGATAGAAAGATATATATACACAAAGAGAAAAAGACAGAAAAGCGGAAGACAAAACAATTTATTAATTGATATATGAGCAATTATCATAAATTAACACAAATGTATAATTATCCCTAATTAGATACCCATTTATACTGCACATACTGCACATCATCTCTCTGTTTCTAAGTATCAGTACTCTTTTTTTATGCAACTTGTGTCTATATATTTCTGAAGAGATGGGGTTTCAGTTTCGGTTTCTAGCAAAAGATTGAATTCTTTTGGAAATTCAAATGAGGAAATATCCATGCAATATTTCTGTACAAAATTAACAATAGACAATATGATACTACTATCTAGATAGTAATTTTTTGTACATAATTTTATTATCAAGATTATCATAATCCTTGATAGAATCCCAGGTAGATTTATATAATAACTGAAGAGCTTTGATTGTCAATTGTTCAACCATCGTAGAGTATATCTCTCTTTTTTTAATAACAATTCATTACTTTGCAAGTGGAACAATGCCATCTTTTGAGCTGCAGGTTTGAAATGCTTTACATCAAACAAAAACTAACAGTAACAACAATGGCCATATCGTAAGTCAATAAACTTAAAGCATGCATCCCCTATTTCATAATTTGAGCAAAAAGTACAGGAGGGTGAATATTCATACTTCTAATAATAAATGTAGTTGCCCTTTAATAGCAGACTTTATGTCATATGCATCTGCTCTGAGGTCTTTTAATTAGGAAAGGGCCAGACGGGATGGGATTAGATTGAGTCCAATATAAGAGCATTGGATGACTCAGGTGCATTTGGCTAGGAAGCGTGCATCTCCTGCACCGACAGCTCAGCTCCGGGCTAAGATCTATGCATTAGGCTTAATAAATTACTCTATAGATAGCTACATGTACATGTATGTACTTCCAAGACTGATGTTAGACTGCATGCTCATTTGAACAGGAGCGTACAGGGCCTAATTTGAGCATTAACTCATTTGAGAACTGGAGGGGCATTCTTGCATTAATATTCAAGTGCATCAATGTGGGTGGGCACTTTTAAATTCAAAACGACATTGTCTAACACAACAAGGGGTTTGTGTTTGTTCATATTTTTTTATTACAATGACATAGTTAAATTCTGTATTAAAGATACTATGTCCCTTTGGCAGCCAACATCAAATTATGTAGAACTTTGCAGGAAGCAGGAATTATGAATAAGTCATGTATGTCCTATCTGTGAAATTTAAACGTTAGCAGTGTCCTAATATTCAAATTATGCAAGGAAACCTGTTTACTTGCTAGACTTTACTGTCAGACACTATTGAGTGACTGACTGGCTTTTTTTTCTTTTTTGGATACATAAAATGAGCTGTAAAGGGTACATGAGCATTTGTCTACATCGATAACCCACTTCTTGTAATGGCCAAAATTAAACTGATTGAATCTTTGTGCAGCATACAACGTACAACCATTCGGTACAATGGTCTGAAAATCAGACTATTACTTACTGGCTCTATAGCTCCCAAGTTGATTCAACAACTAATAGTCATTGTTTTCCCACTTAAAGACATTTTCAAGCCCCCCCCCCCCCCTTTTTTTTTAAGGGAAGTTCTAAATTAGTATTATCTTTCAAATGCCGTTGGAATTTAACCTTTTCATTTTTTTGGCTTGCAAATGGTACATAGTCATTAGTACCTTTAAACATAAAAGGCAGTTTGTGACCATGATGTTGGATGTACTGGTACAGGTGTACATACATGTATGTGACATCTACATGTACATGTATGTCAAATTTAGTGGGAACAAAAGAGTACATTTACATATCAGGTACCCGGTACATGACGATTTGAAGAAAAGGGCTACATGAACATTACATGTACAGTATAATGTACATGTAAATAATGTAAATAACAAATGCACAATAAGAGCCTAAAATGGATAGACATGTACATGTAATATCAGTACATGTACATGTACATGGAGTTAAAAATGGATAACATGAATTTACTGTACATGCATGTACATATAGCAGTAGGCCACTAGAAACACTGCATTCTGTAAGAACCCAAAATGTCATTCAAGAAGATGAGTCGAAGATGACGTATGAGAACGTATTACTTTCATTCTATAGATGTCAAGGAATTCTTGAAGACATTGGCAAAAATTGCTGTGTTCAAGTTTACATCCAAGCATTTATCGATTCAAAAGATAAATCTATATCTCGCCATCATAAGACCTGCTGGGCAACCTTGGGAAGCGATCAAGTCTGACCGCCTACATGTACACATTCCCTTAGATTTCATTTCCTCTGAAATGGGTTTTCTGACGATAGTCCACGTCACTCGCCGCAGCCGGTTGTGGAATTGGCCAGTGAAAGTATTAGCATGGCCAGTCATGCGAGCAATGCTTAGTGTAATGAAGTAGGGCTATTCATACTGCACTGTAAATTCTAAATGTCTCAGGAGGATCGTTTTGCAAGCCAGCGTTGTTCATTGAACTCGTAAATCTTTTATGGCATAATGATATGACGCATAATTCAGAGTTTATCTTACCAGCTACCTTCACAATGTACGCTTTCATCTACTGTACATGTGTAGGCCTAGAGTATGATATACATTTAAATGTACAATTACAATGTAATGAATCTACACACATGTACATCTAATAATGTTACCCCAAAATACACATCATTTGCTATGTATTTTGACATCCATGAATTCCATTCCTGTGGTTTTTAAGGTACAGTGTGTACATGTACATTGAGGATAAAACAAATCAAATCATTGACAACTGACTAAATAATTGAAAATCATCAATACGCACAACACAAACAATTTTTATATTTTAAAGACATGGGGGAGTCACCATGTCTTTAATACATACATGTATTAAACACACATGACTTTTATATTTTTTCTAAACAGTCAGTCAGTCCCTTCAAGCATGATTTTTACTTTAGTTTTATTTCATTAAAAGGAAATTTCCTGTAGTGAAGCATGAATTGTACATGTAAATGTATACAGAAAAATGTGCCTGAAAAACATATAAATTGTGGCAGGAGTCGTGGCAGAAGTCAAACATGTTGTTCTTCATCTATTAAGTCACCAGGGATTCCAGTAGCTAAGTTATAACTTCCCATGCCATATTAGACAATTTGACACTGTTTACCAGGTACATGTAAATCATTTAACCCAAATCATCGGTGGCATGATCCAAAACCAAATTTTCCCATACGGTACATTCACATGAATGTGACGTTTAGTTTGTCATGACTCATAAGAGTACAATGCGGATGCCATTAGGTGTCTTTCACCTCTTCCCCCTCCCTTGAAATCTACACATGAAATGTACACACTTGTGAAACCTACATAAAAGGCGGTGTCACACAGAGGCCAAAAATCCGGATTTTTAGTTATCCGGATTTTAGTTATCCTCTTAATTGCTGTCTGTCATCAATTATCCCTTCAAAAATCCTCTACCGAAGCAAGAAAATTCTCCCTTGAAAGGATTTTTCAAGGGATTTTTAAGGGACTTTTCTGTTTGACACCGCCTATTGTCTGTTTGGAGCCAGAAGGGTGTTCATATCATTTTGAATAAACAGAGATAAGGCGGTGTCACACAGAAAAATCCCGACCCATCTTGAATAAACCAGATTTTAGAAATCTATTTTTTTCATTTACATCGGCGACAGACTGGTGACAGACGGGCTGCGAATAATCAGGATAACTAAAATCCGGATTTTTGATGGGCCATTGCGCATGCACCGTTTAGGTAGATAAGCATTGTGACATCACACGTTCATTCGAAAGTATGCGCCGTTTTAACTACATGTAGATAAGCATTGTGACATCACACGTTTAAATGCGCACAGTTAAACGTGTGATGTCACAATGCTTTATATTTAAAGGGATTATTTCAACATTGGTGTCAGACAGAAAAATCCCTTGAAAAAACCCTTGAAAAATCCTTTCAAGAGAGAATTATCTTGCTTTATATGAGGTTTTTTGAAGGGATTTTTGAAGGGATTTTCGAAGGGATAATTGATGTCAGATCGACAGCCAAAAAGAGGATAATTAAAAACGGGATAACTAAAATCCGGATTTTGGGGCTCTGTGTGACACCGCCTATAATGCTCTTCTGGCTCGATATGAAACCTACATACATGTACATGTACAGTTCCTGTAGGCTTACACATACATTATATTTGTTGTGTAAGAGCAAATGACTGCATGTATTCATGACTGTATGTGACATGATGGGTATCATTTTATTAGATGACCTAACCATGTAATTATAATCAACCTTTGAATGAACTCATCCCATATGTTTCACACAGTAACTTTTAAATGCACATGGTGCATAAAACATAGACATGTCCATGTAGTTCACAGGCATGTGAACATGTGGTGTGCTATATTGGGACCTGTATGTAATCTCCATGTACAGTACATGACATTGAAAAAGATTTTAAAGTAGTCACCCGAAGAATTAAAAATGTTTTGAATTGATGCAAAATTCCTATCATTGCAAAGGGGAAGCCTTACCGATCAAATATTAAACTTCCCTCTTCAAAATATGTTTGGGGCGCGCAGTAATCACCTCTCATAAATGTTAATTTTGAGATCCAGATTTTCTGCCTTCAGCGGTCCTCCATAGAGCGTCAAGATTTGTGACGTCACAAGCAAGACACAGCTAGCCACAAAATTGCATTTTACGCCTTTCCATGATATCTATATGATTTTCAGCAAATAGTTCGTGTTTTTCAAGAGAAAATCTTTTCATCCCTATATACAATGTAATTTGTCCATAATAATAATACTTTAACGATAAGTACATTTCCCATAGAATGCAAGGAAAATGGCAACATTCTTCATGTAAGTGATCTAGGTACATTTAAATCTAGTATAGAGACCGCTCAAGGGAGACAAGACAAGACAAGTGCTAATTAAAGGGAGATGGTCTATATGTACAGGTTCCTTTCAAAACACCCTGTAGGACTCAGTGAGCAACAATTTTCAAGAGAAACCAAAAATGTGTTCTCTACAGACAGGTGGTCTTTCTATACAGGTGGTCACTAAAGCAGGTTTCATTCACTGTATTAATTTTTCTGCTTGAACCAAATCCTATATTGCATTATCCATAAAAAAAAGCACCTTACATTTGTTTGTAGAACTAGAAGAAAGGACTATCGACTACAGCAATTTATTTGCTAAGATTATTGCCCCCAACTGACAGGTACTGCAATAAATCATGGTGGTGCATACAAATCTCTTTGCTCTTGATAATAAATATCCAGCACAGACAATGTCTGTAGGTATATTTATTCATGAAATGCATTATTTTCGGTCCTACCCTGCTTGGAATGTGAACAACTAATACAGAGGGTGTGTCACAATCTTCTTGACTCAATTATCAGCCAATGGAATGGAAGAGCTGCCAAAATAACGACTATCCTTAGGGTTGAAAATATATTTACATTGTTCTGTTAGGGGGTAAACAGAGGTAAATAGGCAGTGTTAAAAAGTCAAAATACCTTACAAATCCTTCTTTTGGGAGAAAAGGGGCCCTAATTGTCATTTGCTAGAGCGTGTCATCACTTGTTTGAAGGAATGCCAGATTTAAAATTTAAAAAAAATCGGTTTTCAATGAACTGTCAGAAACGTGTGCTAACAGGTGTATCTTAATTCTCGTGGGAATATTAAAGTATACAGGTGTGGCCTAAAATGAAATCTGTGCAGTCCAACCCCATATTTCGTTATGGATGTACTATTACCCATCTAAATGAATAAATCATTTATTATGAAATCAGAGTTCAGACACTTAAAAAAGGAGCAGCAGAAGAATTTGGTTTTAGCAACTATTCACCTTTAAATTGACAAAATCCATATTCCATACTCACATGTACAGTACATGTGTACAGTTGAAACTGACAGTATAATTATGTGTTCTTTGACATTTCTAGCCTCTTCACTAGTACTCGAAGGTTTCAAGATGCAAAAGTTTAATTAATACTGCCATATAAATGGATCCCACTTCACTGAATTTCTTGCCATGGAAACTGGAACGGCCCTTTGTTAATATGTGCAAGCTTCTGGTCATAATACACTTCAAGAAAAGATTGAATATTATACTGTATACTTACTGAATTTAGTCTATGTTCAAAATCTTCTAAGGATGTTACAGTTGTTCTGTAGAGGAGAGAAAAGGACAGAAATATATATGGTTTAAACTTTAAACATCAAAATACAATTTAATCACCCACACATTGGAATAAAATTATACTGTATCAATTCAAACAGTAATTTATCAATATTTATTGGAATTACAATCCCAATCCTATCTCATTAGAATACCCTTGAAATACAAGTACACATGCATATTAAACACTTTTTCATTTTACCTTAAGATTTTTTTGTTTTTGTTTTTTTGAGGCCGCCATCCTTGTCAAGCTTTGCTTATAATTATTGCGGTCTCCTGCACTTTTCCAACAGAATAGTTCGGATAATACTTTAAATTTATGATAACATGTTATGGAAATATTAAGTTTCGTTATATGTACCGGTACATGTACATGTACATATATTATGTAAAAAAACATTTTGACATGAAGAGATTATTGTTTGTATATATACAAACAATAATCTCTTCATGTATTATACCTTACATTTATATGTTCTTTGTTATTCAGTTTATATTTGGAAAAATACAGAAATAAAATCCAAAAAAAAAAATAATAATAATAATAATTTAAAATGCAAAATTATGATAATTTGAAGAAAAAATTGAAACAAAAACAAAAACAACAAGTGGGATTTTAAAGTGGCTTTTAAAAGTGTAATACTGGAATTCAAGATTAATTCATTTTCAATTTCACAGGCTTAACTTTGTTTGAATTGCACATGAGCATGGATCTACAATATATACTGTACATGTACACTGCTCCCAAAAGAAGGATTTGTAAGGTATTTTGACTCATGTATTAAACATGTACAAGTACTATAGAGAAAAAAATTCTCACAGCCTACACACTATAGACAAGAGTCTAGTACTTAATCAATAAAGATTGAGAGACAGCTATATGTTAATGAGACCCACAAACTTAATCCTATTTTAATTCCTTCCCCAAACAAAGAGGATCTGTGGTTATACTTAATCAAGATGAAGGAAGAATAATCTGATTAACTTCAAGATAACAAGATTTTCAGGCTTGCAAACCGTATCATTGTAATGGCTAGAGGCCTCTACATACATGTACATGTACATGTACATGTATGGACAATGTATGATGCAATACTTGCATGCTCATTTACAGTGTACATGAACATAATTATACACACTGTACAGTGTACATGTAAAATCTTCTTCATGTACTGTACATTAGGCAGTATACTGTATAGTGCGTAGATGAACGAAGCCGACACTATTAAAATTAAATTTTGTAATTCTATTTTATTGCCTCTATACTAGTTAGGCTCTGTGCTAACCTTTAATGATAGAGGTGAAGGAAATTTGTAATATTGCCTTGTGTTTTCCAAGACTTTGTAGGTACAATCTGAAACACATATGAACAAATTTTGGGCATCTGCTCACACGGTCTCGCTCAGCGGTCTACAACACGTGAAATCGTCTTTGAAAATGCGCTAAGTGTGCAAAGAAATGCTCCTACGAGGTAAACAAACTTTGATTACACACCATCTCGGGTGGAAATCACATATTCAAATACTGTTCTTTCGACTGATACCAATTTCGAACTGATTTGAATACCGGAAAATAGGGCCTTTTCGTCTTCAAAAATGGACAACAATCATTCAATTTGTGATTTCTCTATGGAGGTCACAGGAAAATTCGCCTTTTTCACTGGGGTTGTGTACTTCAAGGAGCTAATTCTCGTAACTGCGACTTGTTATTGGGCCATCTCGGGCGCCAAATCATAGGGTATATAATCCCGTGTCGTCTGATGTAACACATAATTTGATTGGTTGTCGAGAAATTAGGGCCAATTTCAATCCAATAAAAAGAAGCTTTCTGAAATTTACGCATCAACCTCCGTAATTAATTTTATGCATTGTGCGTAAGCGAGGTTTTAACACAGCGGACAATGAGGCTTACACACCGTGCTCGCAGCCGTGCGTATTTCGACCATCGAATTTGACTCAGCTCCGCGGCGATGGAAAAGACACATTTTATGTTGATTTCAGCAATTTACTGAAAGGAATTTAGATATTATTGACGATCTTTTACAAAAAAGATGTGTAGAGATTAGATTATATCTCTCATGAGACACTGAATTCTTTAGTTTTCCTGAAATTGAGCAAATTAGTGGCACTCTGAACTCGCTTTATGAGCAGATCTAAATATTCATGGTCGATCTGGTAGTGAAGGAATCGCGTATTCATATTGCAGGGTGATCCCGCCCATCTTAGACGGAGGGATGACAATGATGTGCATCTGCATCTACTAGACTAACATATATAATTTCCTGATTTGTTTTCTTTTGGGGGGAGAAGAAGAGGGAAGAGAGAGACAGAGAGACAGAGAGAGAGAGAGTTGACAAGTCACGCTCGCACAGCGGTGTTGACATTCACACTCTCACCAGTTTTCTACGATAAACCCCTATTTCATAAATATCGACGAGTCCGGTACCTTGGTGTTACGCTCTAGTGCACTCGAACGTTCGTCGTCTGTGTGGGAGGTACACAAAATGCCTCATTGATCTTTTGGCCGAATGTGGGTCAAATTTGTTCATATGTTTGTTTTTTTCTGGGGGTCCACAAAATACAAGCACTGCTTTTTAGTAGATCCCCTCATTTCCTCAGAAATTCAGAATTTCTTGTAATAATTTTATTATGTGTAAAGTGTATTTGTATAGTTACCAAGAAAAAATGAATTATGTACATACATTTTTCATAGTTTCTGTATACCTTTGTTTATCTTTATGACGGAAATGAAATAAATATGAATTCAAAAAAATGTAAAAATCTAAATGGTACATGCACATACAGACAGTGTACTGTACACTGCGTACAATTACGACTGTAAATACATGTACATGTAGGCATATTTTTTGACAATAGTAGGGACATTGGTATTAAAGTAACATGTCCCCGATACTCTGCATGTATGAGTCAACTGTGTACGTGTAGTCTCAAGATGGGTACAATATATACACATTAGGCCTGAGTCATCACGGGTTTTGCCGAACCCGGGTTTGACTTGAAAATTTCGGGCGGGGACCGGGTACCCGAAATTTTCACCACTGCACTGACACTAAAAATCGTGTGCATGCAGCGGCGGGAGTTAGACTAAGTTGCTGTTCTAATAATGCGACGGAAAAGACAGTTACTGCTTTCAAAACAATAAAATAATCAATGGAATTAAATTAAGATGCTTTAAAAAATAAATGGATATCGTTTCAGTTGACGGTAGGTGTTTTTATCGCTCTAAAATTGAGGCTGCAAGAAAGGAATCACGCTTCGTGGTACCGATCGGGTGCGTTCAGAAACGGAAGTGGAAATAGATCTATGACCCACTGAAGACAGAGCAAGAAAATGCCACACACAAGACTAAAATGTTGATCAGACTATTGCAATTAAATCGTAATACTAAAGGCATTAATTTAATTGTCAAAATATATCCACAACATAATGGTTTACCCTTGATAGTTTGATTTACGTCTATGGTTTGATGAAGGAAAATAAATTAAAGCTCTTGAAATAACATCGAAGTGCCTTTCGTTCGTTCTAAAAATGCGTGTATAACGGCGAGCAGAAGTTACGATTCAAGCTTGATATGCACGTTTACATCCCTACACCGTCATCCTGGTCGGAACAATAAGCATTAAACCAATTAAAAAACATCACGGAAGACTTTAAGGGACTCCAATTCAACAAAATTACCGTAAAATAATTATTTGCTTTGACAAATAATACTATAGATATTCATAATATACAGAAATAATGATATTTCATGAGCTACGTACTCGATATCGAGTTCAGCTAGCCATCATTTTGAAATGAGACGGAGTTGTCATGCAGTAGACTGTAGAGGGCAGTATGCAGAAGAGAGAGGAAAAAGCGCGGGCCTGAGATCACGTGATATTCACGTGACTATTACGTGATTTTTTTTTTCCCTCTCTATAGCTGCGAGCTGCCGCATTCTGCGCTGCATGCATGACAACTACGTCTCATTTCAAAATGATGGCTAGCTGAACTCGATATCGAGTACGTAGCTCATGAAATATCATTATTTCTGTAAGATATTATGAATATCTATAGTATTATTTGTCAAAGCAAATAATTATTTTACGGTAATTTTGTTGAATTGGAGTCCCTTAAAGTCTTACGTGATGTTTTTTAATTGGTTTAATGCTTATTGTTCCGATCAGGTCGGATGACGGTGTAGGGATTTAAACGTGCATGACTCGTAACTTCTGCTTGCCGTTATACACGCATTTTTTAGAACGAACGAAAGGCACTTCGATGTTATTTCAAGAGCTCTAATTTATTTTCCTTCATCAAACTATCAAGGATAAACCATTATGTTGTGGATATATTTTGACAATTAAATTAATGCCTTTAGTATTACGATTTAATTGCAATAGTCTGATCAATATTTTAGTCTTGTGTGTGGCATTTTCTTGCTCTGTCTTCAGTGGGTCATAGATCTATTTCCACTTCCGTTTCTGAACGCACTCGATCGGTACCACGAAGCGTGATTCCTTTCTTGCAGCCTCAATTTTAGAGCGATAAAAACACCTACCGTCAACTGAAACAATATCCATTTATTTCTAAAGCATATTTATTTGATTATATTGAAATATAAGTTTGTGAATTCCATATTTTTAGTTCTATATTTCAAAATATCAGTGTGAAATTTAATTTTGAAAAACCCGAAACCCGAAAACCAAAAACCGGGTTTCAGCTCGACGGTCGGGGCCCGGGCGGGGACCCGTTTCGACTCAGGCCTAATACACATACACTGTACACGTACAGTATGTAGTAAACAACTCTCCACATCTTTTAGAGTAACTGGTAATGTTATGTAGATTTACAATAGGCAAGGAAAGGTCAAAACTTGAAACCCTTCAAATCTGTTCATGCCCTTCTGTTAGGCACATAATGGTATTACACGTGGCAAGTTGGCAACTCCAAACATTGCTGCAATATACTTTATTAAACAATAACATTAC